ATTTTGTAATAAATAGGAAATTCCACGGTCTTCTGAGTGAGCAACAGTTTTCTGCAAAGCAGATTAAGGAAATCACACTGTGGTGTACAGATAAGCACAGTTATCTTAAAACAAACAAACAAATACTATGATGGCTTTCTACTTCTGCAGTATACATGAGCAACTTTTGGGCCTGTGCTCTTTTGGCTGGATGAACTTTCTCTTTTGCTTGATTTATTTAATAAAGACTTCTGTTAACACTGTTATGTTGTTTCTCTTAAAGTATTTGTCAGACACAAGAGTGGTCAGTAGGTATGGATCTTTGTCACCATAGTCTCAATAGGCGTCTTCAGAGGTTTTTTTAAAGGCAGCATGTCCTCCTGGTCTCTGTCTTCATGTTGGAGAGGAGTTCCTGCTCCTGCTATTGAAGTTGCAGAATTCCCCTGTGGCAGTTTGAGCCACATTAGAAATCCAAAATCCAATTTCCAGGCTTCCCCCACCCCTTCCCACAATTCATCCCAACACTGAAGAGAAAACTTTCGGGCCAGAGGCTTCTATAGGGGAAGGGGGAAGCATATATACATTTTATTTACACAAATAAATACTATACAAGCTAAAAGCAACTATATATATATATATTACACTTATATTAGTCCCTTTGAAGCTTCTCCTTTTAACTTTAGTCCAGGAAAAGCCTTCCAAGGCTGATAGGTAACACAGTCTCTCTCTCGTGGGAGTGTTCGGGAACCTGAAACACTCCCTCACCAACCTCCAGCTGGTTGCTGAAGTCCTTTCTCCTCACGAAGTCCAAGAAGATAGCTTTGAGTCCTTTCTCTTTGGTTCTGTGTCATTTCTGCTGTGTGATCTCTCTCAGTCTCATACCTCGTTTCTGTAGGCTGCTGTAGTTCAGTCAGCTTATCAACGTACACATTCTGGAATGTTGATTCCTCCTCTGAGTTTTTGGCTGTCCGTTTAGATCATGGCAAAGACGTCCTCCAGGCCTTTCTTCAGTCCGTCTCCAATTTTGCCTGGGCTTCTCCCTGGCACCGAGCTGCTTTCGTTATCAGCCCATCCACTTGGCTCTGCTTCAGTGCTGAACCTCTCCTCCACTCATGGTGAGAGAGAAAGAAAAAACCCCCCTCTACAGCCTAACTGCAAAAAGGGAGGGGGGGGGGGGAAAGAGGGCTTGGCTGCAAGGCCTGCTTTCTCTCTCTCCCACTTACCTCAAAGGTTGTGAGTCTCTCTCCTCACAACAAACACACTCACTCCAATGCTGCCTCCAACTCTGGCCTAGGCAGAGTTGGGGGGCCACAGGGCTCCCCTTCCGCCCCCCCTCCCCCCCAGAGGGGGGAAAGAAGGAAGCCCAGCCACCCCCTGGCCTTCTCCACCCACACACAGCAGCAGACACAGACAGAATTGCCAACAGCTTCTGCCAGTTGTGTATATGTGATTTTTCAGCAGCAGCGAACAAGATGAGGGGTGATTGGCCGTCCAGGGAACACTGCCCTGGGACCCAATCCCCTCTGGGCCCCTGACTCTCAGGAGGGCCAGTCTCAACCCATGACACTCCCCTACTCCCCTCTTTTGTTCCTGGGTTGTGTGGGTTGCTTGAAGCTCTTGTTTCCCAATGACATCTTTCCCAGTGCTTGACCTAGGAGAGGTTTTCTTTTTCTTTCTGCAAGTCTTTCCACATTTATAGCAGACTGCAAACAGGTGGTTGGAGTGCAAGAGTATTTTAATTTCCCTGCATTCAGCTATTTACAATAATGCTCCACTGCATAAATAGTCCATAGATAGAAGTGTAATCAAGATCCAGATGGCCCAGAGATCTCCTTCGTTCCCAGGTATCTCCCTGGTATCTCCCTGGTGGTGTGTTTGTGCTGTTTCCCACTGATTTCAAATGAAAGTGTTACTTATGCAGAGCAGTCTAGCTGTTAAAACTGTAGAGAAACCCGATTTAGTAGTGTCAAAATAGAAGCCATGGCAGCTTCAGCTGCCGTGGTTTTATGGCACTGCTGCCCAGTTTGCTCTCCGTGCCCTGCCCGAGAGAGCGGCCGTGGTCGGGAGGTCGCAGACCGACGGCGACTCCAGCGCAGCCGTCTGGTCCGATGGCAAGCGGCAGAGAAGAGACAGGTGTTTGGGTGACTCGGATTTTGTTTTGGAGGCGGCGGTCCTTGCGGTGCCCGGCAGAGGGCGGGGCGAGGTGCCCGGGGGGCGGGCGGTGACCTCCCCGCCGCTCAAATAGCCGCGTCCGCGCCCGGAGCGGGGCTGGCACGGCCGCCCGCCCCATGGTGACGGCGGCGAGCGGGCGGTGCGGTAGCGGCATCGGCACCCCGGAGCGGCGGGGGCCGGGCGGCTCCCTCGGGCGCTGCCCGCGCCGCCCGCCACGGCGGCGGCGCCCGGAGACGGCGGCGGGGGCCGTGGGGGACAGCCCGCAGGAGCTGCAGGCTTTCCGTGACTATGGAGAGAGCTGGTACCGCTCCCACAAGAGGCTGGAGAGCCGCTTCCAGCCGCAGGAGCCGCTGGCCCGGCAGCCGCAGGTGGGGGCAGCGGGGCCGGAGGCGGGGAGTGGGCGGAGGAGCCCCGGGTTGGTCCCACCTGACCCCGCTGCCCGTGCCGCAGGTGACAGCGGAGGCGCGCTGCAAGCTGGTCAGCTGGCTCATCCCCGTGCACCGGCACTTCGGGCTCTCCTTCGAGGCCCTCTGCCTGGCCGTCAACATCCTCGACCGCTTCCTCGCCACCACCCCCGTGGCCGCCGACTGCTTCCAGCTCTTAGGGGTAACGGCGCTGCTCATCGCCTCTAAGCAGGTAGGGCGGCCCCGGGGTCTGGCTGTCCCGCTGCCAGGGTCTCTGCAGCCCGCCGGGGTCTCTGCAGCTCGAGCGGCTCCGGCGGCTCCGAGCTCAGCCCCAGCCGGGCAGGGCTCCGCGCCCGCTCCCCCGCGCTGCTCTCCGGCGGCGATCTCCCCACCCCTGTCCCCGCTCGCAGGTGGAGGTGCGCCCTCCCAGCGTGAAGGAGCTCCTCGCCCTTTGCTGCGGCGCCTTTACCCGCCAGCAGCTCCGCAACTTGGAGTGCATCGTCTTGCACCGCCTGGGCTTCGACCTGGCGGCGCCTACCGTCAGCTTCTTCCTGGAGCACTTCAGCCAGGTGCGGCTAGAGGCGCGGGGGGCCGACGCGGCGGAGGCAGCGGACGCCCGGAGCCTGGCGGGGAGCGTCGCGGAGCTCAGCCTGGCCGACTACGCCTTCACCAAATACGCGCCGTCCCTGCTGGCCGCCGGCAGCCTGGGCCTGGCGGACCGGCTGCTGCGACACCGCAGCCCTCTGGACCTGCGAGTCAGCGGCTACCCGGAGGAGACCCTGCGGGACTGCATGGACCAGTTACAGCTCCTAGTGTCTCTGAACGGGCGGTCCCTGCCGCTCCTCCTGCCCCCGGAGGTGGCCCAGAAGTGCCACTGGCTGGGGCGTGACGGCTGACGGCGAGTGGCGGCCGCGCCAGCCCTCGTAACTGTCCGCGTCCGCGGCGCTGGGCGCTGGCTCCGCTCTGGCTTTGCCGTCTGTGCTCCGCACAGTCGGTGCAGAGTCTGATCCTCTAAGCCTTAGTGTCACTTGAGTTTGAAAATTAGCTGACGTTTTGCAAATGATGTTCTATATCGTGTCAGCTGTACTGTCCCTGTGCTGTTTGTTTCGGTTGGTTTTAAATCCAGCATGTAAATAATATACTGAATCTCACGTACTGTGTTATTTATTTGGAGGATGATCCATGAAGATAATGGTGAAAGGACACACTGAATGTTGAATAAACTCTTTTCTACTTGTTACCTCTACTCGTTTATTTGCTGGCAGTGTGCAGCTGGGAGAGGAAACGCATTGGCACAGAACGAGTTCTCCCCGGCAGTTAACTCCAGCCCCCACAAAATAATGGTGCCCGAAAGTGACATTCCCCGTTTCAAACTGGCACGCGCTAGCTTGGTCGTGGCCCAAGGAAAAAAAAAAAAAAAAAGTAGATACACTGACATAAGTGTAGGAAAACGAAGTGTGGAATAAAAAAACAGCTGGTTTTTAGTTTTCTAGCAGGGCTGTAACCCAGGTGTGTGCTCCTATCCAAGTTGGCACTGTAGCACAGGAAACATTCAAGGGCAGAACATAGCCATAATGTTGTAAAATACTTCATTTTCTTCATTTGTATCTGTGCACAGAAGCGATGTTAAAAGAGCGCACACAAACCTAAAGCTACCCTCGGGAGTGCTCACCTTTCAGGGCACGGGGGGGACCGCACACTGGGTTGTGCTCCAAGCGCCGCCTGCCGTCAGGTGTTGAGGCAGCAGGAGCAAAACCTGTCTGCTTGCTACAGAAACTCTGCTGCTACAGAAAATGCCGACAAGCCCACCACAACGGAATAACGCGCAGGTCATCCTCCGCTAGCCCCGTAGATGATTTCAGCCAGGGGGACCCTCTGCCGGTGCGGGGGTACTCTCTCCTGCTGGGCTGCTCGGTACGTTGAAGATGCCGCGGGCTGGTTTCTTTTTTTTCCTGTTCCTTTCCGCCCCCCCCCGACCCCTGCTTTCAGCGCTGACTGTCTCTACCCCTGTAACGACATTTAACAAATATCATTATAAAACCCAGTCCAGTCCACAAGTCGACGTCCACACGCTACCCGACAGGGACCCGCAGGGGTGGGCGGGGGACCGTGATGCCTGTGGGCGGGCGGGGCGGTGGGGCCGGCAGCAGCTCTGCTCGAGTTTCCCTGCGGGGTGGCCCGCTCGGACCGCCCCGGCTCCGCGGGCGCGGGGAAGGGCTCCGCGGGCGCGGGAGCCGCCGGCGCGGCCCAGGGCGACGGCGGGAGGTTTCGGCGCCCCGGAGGAGGGAAAGCGGGCGGGCGCTCCCGGCATGGCCCCGGCCCCCCGCGCCCCTGTCCGCGGGGCGGCGCCGAGCGGGACGCGGGGCGGAGTGCGCCCGGCGGGGCCGGGGCAGCCAGCAGGGCTGGAGCTGGAGCCGAGGTCGGGTCCGGGGCCGCGGCGGCAGCATGGAGCAGGGCGGCCGCCGCCGAGCCTTCGGCAGCATATGCCCCAACAGGGTCCAGTGCCCGCCCGCCCGCCACTCTAAGAAGCCGGCCCGGCCCGGAGGGGGGACGGCGTGGACCCCCCCGGCTGCCCCGAGTCCCCGAGCGCCCCCGCCCCGTCAGCGCCGCAGCGTTGCCCCGCCGGTCCCCGTCGCACCCGCCCTCGGTGAGTCTGCGGCGGACAGCCCTGACGCCCCAGCCGTGAACCCCTCCCCGTGCCTCCCACCGCGCCACCTTGGTGCCCCTCACCGTGCTGCCTAGCCCTGCAGCCCCCGTCAGTGACACCTCCACCTTGCCCTTCACCGTGTCCTTCCTGCCACGTCCCCTCTCCATGACCGCCGCTGTATTCCCCCCTGGTGCATCCCACCACGTTCCCCAGCCCTGCATCCCCTAGCCGTACCCATCGAGGATGGCCCCCAGCATGCGCTCATCACTCCGCCATGCCCCCCTGGCTGCGCCTGCACTACTTACCTCTGTCTCTGACTGTCCCCAGTGCTCAGCACCATCGACTGGCAGGATTTGGCAGCCTGTACCCCCATCCTTCCCACCACCCCAGCTGGCCCAGTGACCCTGCAGCAGGTAAACCCCACTGTTTGAGGCAGGCTTGGCCTCACCTGGCACTTTGAGGGGTGGCCCCTTCAACCCAATGGGTGCTGGCAGCTCCCCTGACCTCAGGTTTCCCACCTGTGGAATGGGCACAGAGGAGGACAGCATCTTGTTCCATGTGTTAGGTGGGTTATTGGCAAGGGCAAAGCAGGAGATGGTGCCAGCACTGAGGGAAACTGCTGAACACAGGCAGCTGCTGAAACAGTATGGGCAGCAGTGGGCAGCATGGGCAGGTCTGAGCCCTGGGCCCTGCTGACTGGACCATTTCCTTCACCCCTCCTAGAGTCCCTGCTTCCAGGATGGGACGGAGTTTGATTTCCAGGAGTTCAGAGATGCTGTGGATGATTTTGTATCTGGCAAGTAGATATTTTTCTTTACCTGAAACAAATGTACCTTTGTGTGCACATCTGTAGTCATACTACATTCCCTCTTCTCTTTTTCTGCTTTCCTTTTGGAATTTTGGGTGCCGACTCACTGCATGTTTGTTCCACCATGGCACAGTCTGTAAGGCAGTGCATTCCTGCTCACCCCCTTGGAGGGATCTGGGCTGTCACTGGGCTTTCTCCCATGCAAGACAAATCCAAATAGCTGTAGAGGCATAGCTGTCATAGTAGAGTAAAAGCATTTCAAGACAGTTGCAACCCGCCTCAGAAAAGGGAGAGTAGCCCAAGTTCTTATTAATAAATCCCTTGGGGTGGATTAGAGTGAAATGCCACTGAATAATCAGCATATGTGTAGGGTTTATTTTGGAACAATTTTGTTTTAAAAGATAAACAGGTATGTTGCCATTTGGGGTGTTACCATTCTATAGCAATACAGCAATATTAAAGCATCTGTAGCAATAAAGCAACATTAGAGCATAGCAATATGACACTATTAAAACATAGCAATATTAAATCATAGCAATATAGCACTATTATGAAAACATAGCAATATTAAGGCATCTACAGCAATATCATCTATAGCAATATAGTAATCCTTAGAGCATAAGAATAACACTTAAGGAAATGCATAAGGGAGAGAAAGGAAAAGAAAGGATAAAGGTGGAAAGATATATATATACCAACTTGGTAGTTGCAGCTTCCATATCTGTTAGTTGAAGTGATGGTCTCGATCCGTTGGGGCTGGGGGAAGCTCCCCACCAAACTTGAAAATGTTATGAGTTATGCACTTCCAGATCAGGTCAGACCACCTTGTACCTCCCCCCCTTTCAGAACTTGCCTCTTCCTAGCCTCTTCTCTTCCTCAGGCAGGCAGCTGCACTCAGGATAGCTGGACAATGGCATCACTTTTGCAGTATTCAGAGGTGGGGGGTTGGGTCTTTGCTGGGTGAGAAGCTACTTCTTTTGCTTCAGTTTGCAAAGGTCTTTTAGTGATCTTAGAATCAACTGTTTCAGTCTCTGACAAGGACATACTGGAGAGATGTTTAGAAGAAGAATGGTGTGCTGGGGTTGGTGGGAACTGAGGACATGAATGCGTTCTGCGTCTTAATAACTGTGGCTGTTCCCTCCAGATGCACCCACCTTAATGCCACCACCACTGGACTGCACTGACTTTAATTTCCCTCTTGGTGAGGAGGTGGCCTTTGGGCCCTGCACCCTGCAGCTGGAGAGCAGCATGCTGGCACAGGTGCCCCCGCAGTGCCTGCCTTCCCCTGAGCTGAGCTGCAGGGACCAGGCAGACCAGCACCAGAAAGCACTGGGAGATGCCATGGAGGCAAACAGCCAGGTAGGGACACCCAAGCCCTCCCTGGCTTGCACTGCTTTTTTCTCCATTGCATCCTGCTGAGGCAACTGCATGGCCCTGGTGTGCAGCAACCCCTGGCACCTGGGCAGTGGAGCTGTCCCAACCACCCCATCCACATTTGTCCTTCACAGCTGCAGGAGACTCTCATACAGAGGCAGGAAGAGCTGGCAACACTGCGGGAGAGGAACGTGCAGCTGAAGGAGCTGGCAAGTCAGGCCAGGCAGCTGGCCTCTGTCCTTGATGTGAGTACCACCCTCTCATCTGGTCTAGGTGCCCCAGTGGTCCCTGTGGGACAGTGCAGTGTCAGGGTGCAGTGGGGGACAGGATGTGGGGTGAGGCAGCACAGGGTGAGAGAGAGCCAGCATGGGAGGAGGTGTGGGATGGGATAGAATCATAGAATCAGCTGGGTTGGAAGGGACCTCTTAGATCATCAAGTCCAACCCTTGATCCAACACCACCGCAGTTACTAGACCGTGGCATTAAGTGCCACATCCAGTCTCATCTTAAAAACCTCCACGGACAGAGAATCCACCACTCCCCTGGGCAGCCCATTCCAATGCCTGATTACCCTCTCTGTAAAGAATTTCTTCCTAATAGCCAACCTAACCTTCCCTGACAGACCTTAAGCCCTCTTGTCTTACTAATAACTGCCTGGGAGAAGAGACCAACCCCCACCCAGCTACAACCTCCTTTCAGGGAGTTGTAGAGAGTGATGAGGTCTCCCCTGAGCCTCCTCTTCTCCAGGCTAAACAACCCCAGCTCCCTCAGCCTCTCCTCATAGGATTTGTGCTCCAGTCCCTTCACCAGCCTTGTTGCTCTTCTCTGGACCTGCTCCAGCACCTCAGTATCCTTCCTGAACTGAGGGGCCCAGAACTGGACACAGCACTCAAGGTGTGGCCTCACCAGCGCTGAGTACAGGGCAAGAATCACTTCCCTGGTCCTGCTGGCCACACTGTTCCTGACACAGGCCAGGATGCCATTGGCCTTCTTGGCCACCTGGGCACACTGCTGGCTCATGTTCAGCTTCCTGTCAATCCAAACTCCCAGCTCCCTCTCTGCCTGGCTGCTCTCCAGCCACTCTGTGCCCAGCCTGTAGCTCTGTATGGGATTGTTGTGGCCAAAGTGCAGGACCCGGCACTTGGCCTTGTTGAACCTCATCCCATTGGAATCAGCCCAACTGCCTTCCAGCTGATCGACACTCCCCCCCTACTTGGTGTCATCTGCAAATTTGCTAATGGTACACTTGATCCCTGGGGGACACCACTAGTGACCGGCTGCCACTCTCTGGGCCTGGCCCTCCAGCCAGTTCTTAGCCCAGCACAGAGTGCCCCTCTCCAAGCCGTGGGCTGCCAGCTTTTCCAGGAGTATGCTGTGGGAGATGGTGTCAAAGGCTTTGCTGAAGTCCAGACAGACCACATCCACAGCCTTCCCCCCCCATCCACCAGGGTCACCTGCTCATAAAAGGAGATCAGGTTGGTCAGACAGGACCTGCCCTTCCTAAATCCATGCTGGCTGGGTCTGATCCCTTGTCCTCCTGTAGGTGCTGTGTGATTGCACTGAGGATGATCTGCTCCATAACCTTGCCAGGCACTGAGGTCAGGCTGACGGGCCTGCAGTTTCCCGGGTCCTCCATGCAGCCCTTTTTGTGGATGGGCGTGACATTCACCAACTTCCAATCATCTGGGACCTCCCCAGTGAGCCGGGGCTGTTGGTAGATGATGGAGAGCGGCTTGGCGAGCTCTTCCACCAGCTCCCTCATCACCCTTGGATGGATCCCATCTGGTCCCATAGACTTGTGAGGATCCAAGTGGCTCAGCAGGTTGCTAACTGTTTCCTCCTGGATTACAGGGGGGCTATTCAGATTCTTATCTCTTTCTACAAGCTCCAGAAGGGCTGTCCTCAGGACAACCTGTCTTACTGTTGAAAACTGAGGTAAAGAAGGTGTTAAATACCTCAGCCTTTTCCTCATCTTTGATAACTATATTCCTGCCCATGTCCAATAAAGAATGGAGGTTTTCCTTGCCCCTCCTTTTGCTGTTGATGTATCTGTAGAAGGCCTTTTTTTTATCCTTCACAGAAGTGGCTAGACTGAGTTCAAAATGTGCCTCTGTCTCTCTGATTTTCTTTCTACGTTGACCTAACTATATTCCTAAACTCTTCCTGAGTAGCCAGCCCTTTTTTTCCATAATCAGTAGGCTCTCTTTTTCCCCCGAATTTCCTTCAAAATCTTCCTGTTCAGCCAGACTGGTCATCTTTCCTGTTGGCTTGCCTTTTGGCACACTGGGACAGCCTGCTCCTGTGCGTTCAAGACTTGCTTCTTGAAGCATGTCCATCCCTCCTGGACCCCTTTGTTTTCAAGGGCTGTTTCCCAGGGTACGCTCTGAACTAATCTTCTGAATAGGCCGAAATCTGCCCTCCGGAAGTCCAGAGTAGAGGTTGGGGTGGTGCAGTGTGGGGCTGTGTGATGCAGGACAGGGTGGTGTGTGGCGATGTGCGATGGTGTGGGACGGGATGAGGCAGGGCAATGGGGATTGGTGCGGTGTCGGGTAAAGCAGTGCGGGATGAAGCGAGGTAGTGGGGGACAGCGTGGTACAGGTCGGGGCAGGGCAGTGAGGTGTGGGATGGGGCCATGCGGTGTGGGATGGAGCAGTGGAGGACAGTGTGGCGCTGGACGGGAAGGGGTGGTGAGGGGCAGGGCTGTGCGGCGCAGCTCCTGGGAGTCGCGCTCCTTCCTCCCAACAGACGCTGATGTTCCCGCAAAGCGCCGACGGGGCGACCCTTCCTCCTTCTCCTCTTCATCCTCCACGTCCTCCCGCCGTCGCTGCTCCGACCGGCACCCCGCGGGCGGATGCGGAGGCCGTGGACGCGATGCTGCGGGCGGTGTCGGAGAAGTGCCGCGCCGCCCTGCGGAGCCTGGGGGGCAGCCCAGGGAAGAGCTCGGGGGGCAGCCCCGGGGGCAGCCCCACGGCCAAGCGCCCGCGCCCGGCCCCGCGTCTGCACGGCGCGTTCCGCGGGCTGCGCACCGGCCACGCCGCCCCGCGCCCGGGCGGCGGGGACATGGAGGGGGGCGGCAGCCTGCGAGCACAGCTGGGAGAGGCGGGAGCCATCCGCACCCTGGCCTTCCCGCAGGGAAACGCCTTCACTCTCCGCACCGCCGCCGGCGGGCACCGCTTCCGATGGGTGCCGCGCTGAGACCTTCGCGGCCCCGGGCACGCGTGTCCCGGGCGGGCCGGAGCGGGACCTGCCGCACCGTGAGGCTGGCAGCGCTCCCCATCCGGCGGCACGCTTCCCGTTTTCCCTTGGAAAAGGGGTATTCACGCTGGAGGAGCGATGTGACGAGCGCGGCAGAGGCCACCGCACCCCAGCGAGAGCCCCGCGCCGCGAGCCCGACTGGCCCGGGCTTTGTGCGCGGAGCCGCCGTGGCTCTAGAGTTGGCAGCTCGCCCTCAGTAGCTTGCTAATGAATGTAATGAATGTAGAAATTAAACGAAGTTCTGCCCGGTTTTATCCAGAGGTTTTACTCGGGTAGACAGGCGCAGCCGACAGTCCAGTGGCCGGAGTTGACCAGTGTGAAAGCAGACTGACCATCCCAGGTCGTTAAACGTGATGCACCTGCCCCATCGTGGAATTTTGCACGCACAATGTTTACAAATTGCACTTGTATCGTTCATGTGTGCAACTGTATGTGTATATTTGCACGAGGTGTGATGATTAAATAGTGCTTAAAATTGCCATGTATTTGTACAGATTTAATGTAAACAGTTTTACTTCATGTATACTTATTTGCTTGTATTAGAGCAAGGATAACGGAAAGCAGAAACTTTTAGAATAAAACATGCTGCTTTTAACATTCAGTGGTACTAATTGAAGTAAAGAGAAGTGTAAAAGATAATGTTAAACTGTTCTGAATGGATACATTTCATTTTCACCCTCTGGTTTGAAAGCTGAACCACTGACAACACATGTGAAATAGTACCTGCAGTGTATTTTTCAGTGGCACACGAGTGAAGGCACTGTGCTTCACCCAGGGTAGAGATTTTCTCTCTGTGAAGTTATTGGTTTTTCAATACTCAGATTTTCCAGTATTCTTGCAGAGGTCTGTGCACATTAACAGCAGTCCAAGTGTGAGAGACTTGTGTGATAGTAAAGGTGACAGTGCATTGTCACCTCAGTAGATTTCTTAAAGCAATTGTATATACTCTTGCGCTTTTGGCAGCAGAGACTGTATTCAGAAGGAGAATAGTTGTTGTTGTTGTCAGCATGACATATGGCTTCTAGGAAGCTGCAGAGGTGGGTATTCAGTACCTGTAGTCCTTTATGTCTGCAGCACTGACATCTTCTATAGGATTTGTGCTGAAGCCCTGTCTGGGATGCTAAGGGCTCAACCCTGGATGACTCCAGAGACATTTATATTTCTGCAGAAGAGAATTGTCACTTTGGCAAAAATACTATATGAAAGCTCTGGTTCATCAGCAGACAGAAGAGACAAAGCTTCCTGGCTGCACTGAATTCAGTAGGGCATAAACTGATCGTAAAAGACAGCTTCTATAGATGTCTACAATTCCTCTCTGTGTGTTTTATGAAATTAAACACAAAACGGATAGTGTATACAATTTTGTAATGCTCATAAGCGTGTTAATTCCTCGGAAATAAAATTACACATTAAAAATGTACACTTCTTTTAGGATATAACAAAAAATAATCACCCTGTTGGATTATCACTACTGTTGATCTTGCTGCTACTTCACATCTTTTCAGTTACAAATACATTTTTATCCACTCTTGCATTCAACCTGCTATAACATTTCCTCTGATTAGTGTTACTCATAGTGTTCCTATGCTAAAAGCATCCTTGATGAATTTTGAGATTTGATATAATAGTAATAGAAAATGATCATAAATTATTTCAAACATTTATTAAATTTGAAGCCATATTTATTGAAAAGGCTGAAAACTGGCTAATCAGACCAAGATGCTTCTTACTGAGACTCAACAGGAGCATCATTGGACACAAAGACAGACTGGTAAAAGGTGCTTGATATGCAACTTGGTTTTTCTTGATTTTAGGCTATAAGCCTATTTATAAAGGTACACTATAAACACCTTGTCCTAGTTAGAACAGCTGGGACCAGTTCATCACTGTATGGGTGTAACCCAAAACTGTGTATTCTATAGCCTTCCATGCCATTTCCCAGATACTGGTATCAATAGACTATTTACATCTTCTGCCCAGAGCAGCCTGACTCCTCAGGCTATAAACTGGGTGTTAAGAGGCCTGGGAGATAGGAGGGTGCTCTTGTCCTCACACTCTTTTGTGGAACTCCCCGCTCTGAGGGAGGTACTGAGCATTCCTGCCTGAACTGGTGGATATATAATCTTGGAGTCTTGGAACTTTTTTAACCACTCGTGGGATCCAGAGGGAGACTGCAGATCACCGCTCTCAACCAGACTGCAACCACCACTCTCGACTGGACTGCAACCACCACTTTTCAACCAGACTGCAACCACCACTCTCAACTGGACTGCAATCACCACCCTTGACCAGACTGCAACAGCACTCTCACCAACAGGTTTTCCCCTCTCCTTTTACTTTGGACTCAGGGGGCCCAAAGAACAGCACTCTGTTCATGCCCCAGGGTACTGGGTTATACATTTGGGTTTTGTGGGTTAAAACCAACTGTTTGTCTGTATAATCGTACTTATTGTATTATTTTATTAAATTGTTATTCTGACTTATAATCTCTCTTTTGAGTTGAGTTCATTTCCCCTGCTGGTTTACCTTTAAACCAGCACACACCTTCTTTAAACTATAAAGGTGTATTTTAAATTGATGCTTATCCACCCACTTCCATACATATGAACTTCATAATAAGTCAGAAAATCTCTTGCACAGAGTAAAACAGCCCAGCAGCTACTTTTGACAAACATGAAATTAGAAGGGCTCTGTTATAGGTTATAAATCTGAGAGAGGAATTTTTTCTTTCCCTGCTTCCCTGTAAGAGAAACTGAGTTTCGAATAGGGAAGGGGGAAGGGAGGTAATTAGCCTTACAAAGGAATTAGCTTGCCAGACTGCATTCTTCACAGATGGAACATCAGAGACACTGGGGAGAGAGGAGGTGCTGGCTCTGTTCTGAGGGGAGAGGGGCAGACCACGGAGTTCTCTCGTTGGGACAGAGACAGGGACTGTATCCAGGCATTTCCTGGAGGAAAAGCCTGGGAGCCAGTTTTTTTTCTGGTTCTTTCGTCATGGTGAGGCCTGACCACCGGCTCTGCACTGCCACTGCCTCGTGACTCCCGTCGGGACCTACTGGTTGTTTTTTCTTCGTTTCATCGGAGAGGTCTGTGCTTGCTGGGAGAGGAGGGGAGAGCCTAGGAACACCGTCATCTGGGAACAAGAACTGCAGGCTCTGCACCTCCAGCGATCCAACAGTGCCCTCTGCAGGCCACGATTAGGACTGCACTAAAGGACAGAGAAGTATTCATTCAGACCCTTTTTTTTTCCTAGGATTACTGTCTAGTTTTTTGTGTTCTGTTACTGTTTTTGCCAACATACACATATCTTTTATAAAGGGTTGTTATTTCTTCTGGTTTTTTCCACACTTCCTCAGTTAAAGCCCCTTAATTTTGAATTTACAATTCCTGAGAGAGAGGAGTTTGGTCTATCTTATAACTCATCCTCTTTAGCAAACATTCCAGTCTCCTCAGATTGAGACAGGCTCCCAGTGCCCTTTGTCTTTTTGTCAGGCAGGAGTTGGTGGGATCACAGGGGACGAAGCCTGGGCCCTTGAGGCTCATGCTTCATGGTTTTTCCATCAGAAGCTAATCCCTGGAGAAGCCGGAAGTCCACCTCTAGGAAACCTCATATCCAAACAGATCTGGCTTTATGCTTTTTGTCTGGACAGGATCTGTGTAGAGCCCCTGGACGTGCAGGTGTGATAGACTGAAGGACATGCTGGTTTGTTGTTTATGCTCACTATGATTTTCTCTCTCTGGTGGTGCATGGTCCGTGCAATAGGTGAAGGGATCTGGCCAAGACCCCAACAGAAATAAAGCAAAATAGATGCAATAACATGTAATGAGCTTTGTTCCTGCTCGTAAATAAGCTTTCTCCACATTTCCCTGCCCTGCCAGTGCCAGGCCATAGGATGTGTGGCTGTGAAAGAGTAGTGGTGCAGAACTGCAGGCAACTGCGTGTTATAGGTTATAAATTCCATAGGAGAATTTTTCTTTCCCTGCTCCACTCTAAGAAGAAACGGAGTGAGTGGGGGAAGGGAGTCAATCTGGCCGAATTCCTAGCTAATGGCCCATCAGAGAGGCTGGGGGAGGAGGAGAGAAATTTTGGGAGGGGGTGGCGGTTTCTTTGGTGGGAGGGGAGAGGCAGAAGGCGGAGCTCTCTCTCTTGGACAGAGACGGGGGTCTGCTTGCAGGCATTTGGAGAGAAGGACTGGGCACCTGGCTTTTTTGGGCTTCTCGTCCTAGTCAGCTTGGACTACTGGCCTCAACTTGCCTGCGAGCTGTCTCTTGTCTCCAGCCCGGATCTGCTGTGTTTCTTTGGAGAGTTGCGTGCCCACGGGAGAAAAGGGAGGAGTTTTGAGACACCGTAACCTGAGACAACAGGGACTGCAGGCCCTGCACCTCCGGCGACCCAACAGCACCCCCTGCAGGCCACGATTAGGACTGCGCTAAAGGACAGAGAAATATTCATTAAAACTTTTGTTTGTTTGTTTGTTTTTTTCTAGGATTACTGTCTAGGTTTTTTTGTGTTCTGTTACTGTTTTTGCCAACATACATATATCTTTTAATAAAGGGTTGTTATTTCTTCTGTTTTTCCACACTTCCTCGATTAAAGCCCCTTAATTTTGAATTTACAATTGCTGAGAGAGAGAATTTTGGTCTATCTCATAACTCATCCTCTTTAGCAAACATTCCAGTCTCCTCTAACTGTGACACTGGGACGCTTTGAGGTGAAAGAGAAAAATACCTTTTAATTTAGGGTGTGCCAGGGTTAGGGTTTACTAATCGTGTATTGAATACAAGCACCTCAGTTCCACACATGACTTGTTATGGGCACGTGGGTTTTTCATTGGGTAAAGTCCTTAGGTATTCATTAAAAAATGACACCAGACCTCAAGGTACAGCTTGATTAAAAGTAAATACCAGAAAGAGGAACTATCTTTTAGTAAATCGTTGCT